TTCGAGTTAGTTAAAGCTCAACTACGTAAGATGTTTTATAAGTATGTACTTAATTTTAGCTTGCTCTTATTCTCAGCTATACTTAACTAGTTCTAATTTTTAGTCTATAGTCTATAGAAGTTAGATGCAGAGATCTTAGACTACACACTCTTTATTTTTTCTAGATATTTTTTCTACCATATATAGATAAACTTTGATAAAAGTGATATTAAAAGAAAATTAAAATTAACAAAGTTTTAAAAAAGCTTAAATGTATTTTTTCTTTATAATAACTTAATAAAAATTTTTGAAAATTGTTTAAATTATTTCAATCTAATCAATTTCTTAGTCATTTAATTTTCACATTAATCAAATATTGTAGATTAATGATAAAAATTATTGATGAATATTTATTTTTTAAAGAAAAGTATGTTTACAATAATTAACTTTTTAAATTTTATCTGAATAGTATAAAAATTATAAGACTAGTCAATTTTAATAAAGAATTTTAAATAATAATATTCTTAAATCAAAATTTTAAAAATTAATTAAATTTTAAAAAAGATATTATTAGTAACTTACATGATTTTAAATATATTTAATTATGTAGATTGATTCACTATAATTCTCAACTATTTATATATATTTAATTGATTATTTATTTTAATATTTTAATTTATTATTTAGTATTTTTATTACAACTATTTAGTTAGATAGATAAATTAAGCTTTTATTTTATTATTATTATATTTTTAGACTATATTATAATATTAAATATATCTAACAAAATTTCATCTTTTGAATCAAATCTTGTAACTCTGTTAATTTTTTAAAATCTATTATAGATCTAAACTTCTTCTGAACAAAAGTAATATTATCGTATCTACATGAATAAAATTAATTATTTAAAGTAGATTAATATCTGATAGCTTATTAAATTAACTTCTGATATAACTATTATATAAAATCAATAGATATTTGATAAAAAAATTAATAATTTAGATTAAATCATTTATTATAAAGTTTACTAAGTAGTCTATAACAATTCTCAATTAAAAAATATCAACTTCTCTGGAATATATTTTTTTATTATATTTGCTATTATTTTCTGAGCTTTAATAATTATCTCAACCTTTCAAGTATAATATACTTTATAAATAAATATAATTACTGTATTTTTAGATACTCAAGTACTATTGAGTAAATATATATATATTATAAGATAATTAGTCTTTTATTGATGAGAACTGATTAGCTAACTAATATATATAAACATCATATGAGATGATATAACTATAATATAATTATACTCAGCACCTTCTATATATCAATAAATGTATTTTATAATAGTACAGCATTTAATAATTTTTTAATAAAAAATATATTTATAGTTTTAATTTTCATTAAGTTATTTTATTATTTTAAATAAAATAATTAACTTTTTATATAATTAAATAAATAAGTTAATATAGTATAAATTAAAATAATTTAATATAATTTAAAAAAAAATAAAAAAAAATTAATAAAAAATTTTTAGTAAAAGTATTATTGAAAATATATTCTTAATTTTTATAAATTAAATATCAAATTTATTTAAAATTGAAGTTTATTCTCTAGAGATAATTTTTATTTTCTCTATAATTTTAATTAAAAACTTTTTTTCTAATTCAATATTAAATAA